GCGGTGAGAGACTATTTACTTGTATTTGAACACGCTTTACATAGTCTCTCACGACATGCTATTTACTTATATTCGAACATGTGCGTGCTCTCTCTCTCTCTCTCTCTCTCTCTCTCTCTCTCTCTCTCTCTCTCTCTCTCTCACACACACACACACACACACACACACACACACACACACACACACACATACACACACACACCACATCCCTTTATCACTGTGCCACTGTATTGTTATTCCCTGCTCTCTGGGAACAATGAATGAGATTTGTAGCCTTGATACATGGTTCAAGAAGTAGACATCTGCACTAGTTACAGCCAACAGCCTAATCTCAATGAAACATCATGTAGCGGCCATCGCATTACACAACTCCGAAGGTACTCACGATTAGACAAAGTCCCTGGTGAAACTGCCACTGCGCCCAACCAAACCTATTTCATCAAATCTCTCGTTTGCCCACGGCTGGAATTCGCGAACCTTGAGCAACCACAAAAGAAAAAAGTGCCCCAACCAACCTGAACAGTCGCAATCACAATCTGAAATGCCCAGCTCGCAGCCACAACTTTCTTCTGTGGTCCCCACAAGGCCATGGCCGGGCCACTACCAGACTGTCCAATGGCCTCCTTGTGCACAGCCTCAGAACTCACACGTCATTGGGGGCAGCGATGATTTAATACCTGCTGGCATCGGTAAATTCTTTGTTTTGGTCAAATCTCAAACCAACAGTCAATGGGCGAAAAAGGGGAAAGCTTTCTAAAAGAATTTCAAAAAATGGGAAAGCCAGAAGTGGGGGAGTTCAGTCCCTAACTTGGGACTCACCTGGTATCATCGTGAAGACGGGAGAAGACAACCCTTTGCCTTCCATCCATCGCAATTACAGTTTCCAGGGATGGCACCCCTCCTGAGGCCCCAACTGCTCTGCGAAACCTCGAGTCGTCAATCCTTGAAGAAGCTCCTCCCGAGGCGCTTCTACCGCTAGCAGAAGACAGATTGCGTGATGACCCATCTCCAACGCCATCATTGTTGGCAGACGTACTCACACCTGAGTGCAAAATACCTGAAGATGTGCTCGTGACCGCCGACGGTGATAGAGAAACACGGGAGAAGGAGACAAGGCTGTCCACAGGCTGCTCAGGTTGCCTAACATATCTGTGTCTGTAACGCCAATACAGGAGTGGCAAAGTCGCCACACAACCAACCGTGTACCCGATGATCCACCCATCCAAGGGCGATTTTCGTGTGGTATCCCATGAGATAGCTAACACGACAACCGACGCAGTTATCTGGGCAAGGGTTATGATAAGTTCAATCACGAGGACGACGTTCGAGTACATCAACCCCAACAAAGCGGGGTCCGCAGAGTGTGCCAGTTGTGCAGGGGTTGCTTGGTTAATCGATGCACGGGGAATGGGTGCGGGTACTGCCGGTGAGGAAGGGATAGGTGGTGGGGCCCGGACTGGAAGGGTACTTGGGTTGCTGGTCCCCATTGAAGGGGCAAGCCGGGAAGACGTGGTCACTTGACAATTCGAGCACACAAGTGAATTTGACGTTTCATTTGTAGGGGAGGACGGAAGAGCACTGTGAGAGTGATTTGGACCCAGCAACGGCGACCGGTCTGAAGCGTAACTTGGTTCTCTCTCTCCAATTTCAGCGACTATTGTTCTGCCGCTGGTATCCATGGAGCAAAAAGCAGTTGCACAGATTCTGTATGGGATGACAAAACCCTGCTACGCCTTAATGGGAGTGTTCGACAAATCAAAGGAGGAGGTCTGGCTGTACACACGAGGGTGTTTGCTGCTACTGTTCCTTCAAAGACAAACAGGAGTTGTCGTTTGCAGTGCGGTTCTTGGTAATAACCATCAGTTCATAATTCACCCAGTTGGTCGGACAACAGGCCACAGAGACACAAGAGCCAACCTCAATGGAACGCACGCACATTCAGGGAGTGAGGGAGAGAAAGTAACATCCGTCCGTCGATCAACTGTACAGAACACCTTTCCATCTACAGACAATAATCGCTCATTCCCGACGCCCATCCACAACAGCCACTGCTCCATCTCGCAAGTGCTGCCATATCTTTCCAGCCACTAAATCTATGCCCGGTCACCTCTCTCTTACGTTGTACATGGATGGATCAACGGCCACCATCGCCAGTCCTTCCCGTCGTGTACAACTGGGTTCGGCCCCACATGCACCGACTTTCACGCCGCTGATGGCCGAGATACCGCAGGAGAAGTACCACGTCACGTAGCAGTCTCACCACCTCACAAAGCAGCTGCACCACTTCACGTAGCAGCTAGCTTCAGCGGCGAAGCATAGCTGACCAGTAAGGAGAGCAAATAACTGACTCACAGTGACGAACTCCAAACGGGTATAGATGCCAGCTCTCAACTTTCATTACCTCCCTTGAAGCAACGCAGCACATTCGCTGCTCCAGGCAAATGTCACAGACAAGAAATACCAACAGCCATCACTTTTCAATCCATCAGTCATCACTTTCCGCTACCTCTGCAAGTAATGTCACAAATGAGCCCCCTCTTTTCCTCGGAAGAACACACATTTTTCTCAACGCCATGTGAAAAAAAAAACCAGCAATTTCAGAGGTCTCACAGGAAACACCATCAACACACACACACACACACACACACACACACACACACACACACACACACACACACACACACGTCTGGTAGGCAAGTGGGGTCCCGGGCCACTCTGGTAGCCTAGCTCTTTTTGCTTTGAAGTTTTTTCTGCATACCATGTATTCTCGCACAGCTATCGACTAAGAACGTGTATGCAAAAGAAAAGAAACCAAAAACACAGAAATAAGACGAAAGGAAGCAGTGGCAACATCCTGTCTTTCTTTTTTTTTCTTTTTTCTTTTCTTTTTCTTTTTTTTTCTGATTTCTTTGTATTTCATCAGTCTCTTTTGTAAGGCCCAAGATTCTCAACGTCCGGAACTCTAAACAATCACACCAAACAATCACACACCAACAAATACTGTTGACGTCCGACAAGATTTGCAGCCACATTTTGGTTGCAATTATGTGCCAGTTCGTCACTGTGTTCTTGGGGTGGCCGTCGACCAATTGTGTGGATGTCACTCGACATTAACACTGGGCTATCTTGGAATGCATCTGCGCACATTCATAGGTACTGTTCACAATGCATATGTTGCTGATATCTGGCAAATTTGACAGCCACATTTCCGTTGCAATTGTGTGCCAGTTCGTCACTGTGCTCTCACAGTGACTATGCCGATGGCTGAAACTCGAACATCGTTAGCACTCTGATTGTGGACTATCCGGAATGCATCTGTGCACATTCATAGTTACTATTCACAATGCATATGCTGCTGGTCTGAAAAGATCTGCAGAACCATTCCTGTCATGATTGTGCAGCAAACATAAGCCCTCTAGTTGTGGACTATCCGGAATGCATCTGTGCGCGTTCATGGTTACTATTCGCAATGCATGCATCTGTGCGCGTTCATGGTCACAATTCGCAGTGCATATGCTGCTGGTCTGAAAAGGTCTGCAGTCACGTTCCGGTCACAATTGTGCAGCGGTGCATCGCTGCGCTCTTACAGTGACCGGTTGCACGGATACCGCTCAAGGTTACTCTGCGGCCGTGGACTAATCGGAATGCATTTGTGCGCATTAACAGCCAACAACAATTCACAGTGTAAAAATCATAAAAACCCCTCTCTTAGCACAGCGGGCAGCGGTCGGATTTTTGCATTGATTACTTGCACCCCAACAAAAGGACCACCACTGTTACACACACTAGAAGGTGCTACGCTGTTGTGCATGCTACAGCATCCAAATACAGGCAACAGTGAATGCACGAGTCTGTTCACCGTGGTAAGGAGGGGTGGAGGGGGCGCATCTGGAGCTTCGACCAAACAATATCTTTGTCCGAAGCCAGCAGTTTTTTGCCACGTGGCATGCTCTGATTGGTTGTTATGGACTGATAAGAACCACAGACCCTGATAAAAGAATAGAAAAGAAATGTGCCAAGGAAAAAGTAACAGCCATGAACTCGCGTCTTCACCCGAATAGAACATCCGGTCATTTCTGCAAGGATAGGTCGGGCTAGCTTGTTCCTCTCAGCTACTTGACTGTCGGCACACCATAAGGGGGAGGTGCGTGTGTGAGTTCTCATTGTAAGTCTGCTTGACTTGCCGGTGGAATAGGAACCGGACTGATGCTCCCCAGAATGGAAAAGGAGCCGGAACCGTAAGGTTCTGTTAATAATAATAAAAAAAAAAAAAAAAAGAACATCCGATCATTATAGCTGTATCTGGACTGAAAATTGCACCAATTATGGCTATAATGACCGGGCGTTCTATTCAGTTGAAGACGGTAGTGAAGAGACTTGTGTCTTCCTCCTCTTAAACCACCAGTCCTGCTGAGCAACCAAGAAAAATCCCAGTTGGTTGGTAAGAAGTAGGAGGCTCCATCCAGGCTCGCGGAAAAAAGCAGGCCCGGCAAAGGTTCACCCCAGGAGCATAGAAAACTGTCCCCCGCCAGGTCCGGTTCAGATACCAGGTCAGGCTCGGCGCCCAGCAACAAAAGAAACGGGCGACAGTTTAAGCCACAATGACCCCTTCCTTCCTGTTTTTTTTTTCTCTCTCTTTCCCCGACCACCCCTCTTTTTCATTTTGTCTGCCGGAACGACAATCCATCTATCACAGGAGTCCCATTTTCCTGTCTGCAGGGGTTCGCCAAACTTTTCAGGAGGGGTAGCCTTACTCCTCCCCCCTCTTAAACCACAATAACTATACCTTCTACGACCGCCTTGGCTTGCCCTTTTTCTTTTTTCTTTTTTCTTTTTTTTTTCTTTGTTTCTTTGTTCTTTTTTCTTTTTTCTTTGTGTCTTTTTTCTTTTTACTTTTTTCTGGTTTTGAAAAGGGCAACAGCCTTGAGATAATCATCATTGAACGGGCCCCATGCAATTCATAGCTATTTTCTTCTGTTCATCTGGTTGGATCTGGATTCAAACTTGGCTCTGTAATTCAACAACTCAGGAGGGGTGTATCGACTGTGCTATGCACATTGGTCAGCTTCGTTTTTCAGTTGGTCCAGCGGATTGAAAACCCATTGGGTCGACAATCTAGCAGCAATCGCAAGTGTTTCTGTGTGGTAATGTCTCCGCTGGGGTTGGCCTGATTCTGCAGGTAGTATTGCTTGAGTCAGTCCTAATACTACCTTCAGAAAAAAGCTGAAAGGCTGTCTTCCTACTTGCCACTGTCTTCCCCACATAGAATGTACGGTCAATATAGCTGTATTTGGAGCAACGTTCGGTCTAGATACAGTGAGAATCACTGTAATCACCATGCAGTCTATTCAGGGGACAACGATAATCTGCAGGGGTTGGCCCAATTACACAGGAGGCAAAGGTGATTAAACCCTCCTCTCTCTCTCTCTCTCTCTCTCTCTCTCTCTCTCTCTCTCTCTCTCTCTCTCTCTCTCTCTCTCTCTCGCGCGCGCGCGCGCGCGCGCGCGCNCTCTCTCTCTCTCTCTCTCTCTCTCTCTCTCTCTCTCTCTCTCTCTCTCTCTCTCTCTCTCTCTCTCGCGCGCGCGCGCGCGCGCGCGCGCACGCCCCTTAATCACCTCCTTAAACAGTACCCAGAAGACGATGTCTGAGAAGTTCTTCTCTTTTTTTCCAGTCAGAAACCTACTACGCTCGTTTTGTTCTTGCCCTTGTTCGTATTCTTCCCTAGATGAAGTAGTGCACTTGGGCACACACCAAGCGCAGAAAGGGAAAACTGTGGCCTGCCATCATCATCCTTGTCGCTATTATCATCATCCTCCGTTCTTCTTCTTCACCATCTTTTTCTTCTTCACCTTTTTCTTCTTCTTCTTCTTCCTTCCTCTTCTTCATCTCCATCTTCTTCCTCCTCTTACTTCTTCATCCTTTCTCGTTTTCATTTTGTACTGTATGTTCTCGTTTTGTTGATGTGCCCGTAAGAGGTCGCGGGCTGCTTCACAAGTAGAGTAGAGAGGCAAGCAACAAAGCGCTTGTACAATGCCTCTAATCTAATTAAATTAGATTAGAATAGAATGTTGGTCGACCGTATAAGATTTTGAACACAGAACAGCTCCCTAGGTTGGATTCGAACCAACGACTCAATGGATAGACAGAGAAGACGTTGCTTCGTGCCTTGCCACGTCTAGTCTTTTTCCTCTTTTTCCTCTTCTTCCTCCTCCATCCTCTCTCTTCTTCTTCCTTCTTCCCCGTCTTCTTCTCCCTATTCTTCATCTTCTTCCTTCTCCTTCTTTCTCATTTTCTTTCTCCTCGTCCTTCTTCTTCCTACTTGCCTCTCTTCTTCATCGTCCTCTTCCATCCTCATTCTGCCTCCTCCATCCTCATTCTTCCTCCTCCCTCCTCCTCCTTCCTCATTTTCCTCTTCTTCTTCTTCTTCTTCTTCTTCTTCTTCTTCTTCTTCTTCTTCTTCTTTTGATCTTTCTCTCTTCTTCTTTCCTCTACCTTTTTTCTTGTTCTCCCTTCTTCCTCCTCCTTCGGCTTCTTTCTTCTTCCTTCTTCCTTCTCCATATTCTTCTCTCTTCTTTCTTCCTCGTACTTCTTCTTCCTGCTTCTGCCTTCTTCTTCTTTCTTCTGCCTTCTTTTTCCTCCTTCCTTCTTCCTCCTTCCTTCTTCCTCGTTCCTCCTTCCTTTTTCCTCCTTCCTCCTTCCTTCTTCCTCCTTGGTCTTCCTTCTCCTCCTCTCTGTGTGCTTGATGGAAGGGAGAGTCATGCAAATCGGTGGCCAGGTGTTAAGCTCCGAAAAAGGTGCCGAAGGACAAACAATAATACCTCGGGCACCGTTTTTAGAAAAAGAACTAAATTTAAACACAGGTCATGAATGAGGGCATATTCACACCACGACTTTCCTACTAGTTTTTCGGCCAGTCATTGCGGTCAGATGCATCCAAGCCGAGACTTAATTGCGGTCAGATACATCCAAGACAGTGCTCGTGTAAGTATATGCCCTGATTCATCCACCATTCGAGTTCAACAACAGCGGTGATGAAGTCCGGATCCCAACCTCTATCATTCAGCCAAATAAATCCGAACTCACCTCATGGTCCTCATCACATGTTCCATTACTTCAAAAAAACAAAAAAAAAAGGGCTACGACCAGGACAACCATGAGATACCATCGTTCAACTGATCGAACCACTCTAAGGTCGGTCCGCCACGCGGGTCCATGTGCATTTGCGCCACAGCCTCCCCAGAGGGGGCCAAAGGTCCCTTGGGTACATGTGATTTAAACCACCAGTACCTTTCCCATGTGTCGGTCGCGTGCAATTTCGAAAGACCGAAACACAAAATGGACCTCGATATGCCCTACAGGGCCCAATTTTCACACAGCCGGCCGCCCTAAGTGAAGGCAGGCATGACCGAGGCCCTACAGGGCATTTCAGGGTCCCCCCGCAACTGGGGAAATTCAAGCAGTTGCGCAGCGCCAGTCGGTTGGAAGCACCCATGCCCAGGCTGCCTTTCATTGCATGTAACTAAGGCAGGCCCTGGGCCGGATACACAAAGTGCCGAACAAAGGCTGAGGGCAGTTGGGTGCTGGTAACCGCCTCAGGCCCTGGGCCTGTTTCCTTTGGACTGAGGCTCAGCCTCCCTGGGCCTACCGGAAGCTTCTAGACCGGGGCCCAGTACCGCAGCACACCACGCAGCAGCAGGCCACTTCGATATAGGGAAGGGCGTGCCCACGCATTGGACATTCGGGCACTGGCTGCTTTGTGCGCAAGCACTGCTGCGCTATCGCCTGCCAGGCTCACGCGCTCACGGGCGAGCTGGAAGGAGCAGGCAGCCATAGCCGAGCTGCTGGATGGGGCGCATGGTGGTCCTTGGGTGCAAGTGGCATCTACGAGTTGGGGAACGAGGTTGTGAGTGATACGAGGGACGTACCTGGTGCTTGACGCGTGCGGCATTGGCCGAGGTCTGCTCGTACTTGGGAATCTGTTGACGTCATCAGCGGCATTGTAGTCTAGGCTAGATAGGATCTGCCATTCGTAGTCTGGGCGCCGAGCGCTAGATAGGATATCAACATTGGTTCTTCGTTGATGATGATGAGACTTTTCCAGCATTGTCAATCATGAGCTTTAGGTGTGCTCTTATTTGGTGAAACTCGTGATGCAATTCTGCTTTTGATGTAGTCCCACCGGTGACTGGGGTATCCCCATAAAGTGCTCCAGCATCGATACAACCCGTTTCCCTGGGTATGCCTTTAACAGGTGGGTTCTCAGCAGGTCCCAGTGTGCAGATTCCTGTACAGACAGTGTTCTCCCAACCACCGCCTCAGGTTGCCGTAAGCAGGCAGCCTGCTGTCTCGCAGCCTGCACAGCTGCAGGGTTCACAGCCCCAGCAGATAGTGCAGCAACCTGCACCACAGGGTCCATAGTCCGGAATGGTGCAGGTACAGGGACAAAGTCAGTGGGTACCAAAGATGGCCATCGCCGCTCCTAAACCCTTTACAGGGGATTAGAGGGGCGAAGACCTCGACACTTGGTTGAGGGCAATGTCAGTCTATGTCAAGTACAAACTTACCTTGCCACACGAGGAAGTGCTTGTGGCTGCCTCCTATTTAGAGGGGAGTGTGGCACGATGGTTGAGTGGTTTAGTGCAACTACAGAGGTACGGTCACGACTTTCACGCTTGGGCGGTCACCCAAAAATTGGATGACTTCCTCAAGTTGGTGGAAGATAGGTGGCATGATCCACAGGAGGCCCAAAAGGCTACTAACGCAATCCTGACACTGCACACGAGGCAGTTTACGTCAGTAAGGGAGGCCACTGACGTTGTAGAGCGTCTGATCTGTGTCCCTGGGGTGCGCTATGACCCCCAGGTCCTACTCACCTCCTACCTGAGATGCTTTCCAATGCCTCTCAGGAATCAGTTGGCAAGTGAGGCCAACATCAATATGCACAACTTTCCCTCGTTTAGAAAGAAGGCCGTAGACCTTGAGGCAAAGATAGGGCATGGTCAAACACCTACGACAAACGACAGGAAAAAGTCACTGCCTCCCAACTGGAAAGCGAAGGGACGCATCATGTTCATCGACAACGATGGTTCCACCATCGAATTGGACGACTTCCAGTCAAGAGTGGGTTCAGAGGCCGGCAGCGTAGAAGCTTCAGGGGGTGGAGTTGTCGCTGACGTAGCTCAAAAAGGTAAGGCGACCGGTGGATGCCGCGGAGGTTCCCGGTCAAGGAGTCAAGTTGACCCCAATGCTCCCCCATGGGAGAAAGCGGGTCTCGCTGACGACGTGTGGAGAGACAGGTACACCAGGCAGGCCTATATTCGTTGTGGCCAATATGGCCACAACCAATTCAAGTGCCGCAATAAGAAGGTGACCGAAAAGATCCCGCCTACGATGGGGCAGGCGTTGGGGTCCTCCGCTTCCGTTGGTAGCAATGTGGCCAGCAGTTTTGGCACTGCTCTGGGAAACGCGTCCGACCAGTAGGAATGGTAACTGATCCTGCTAGGGTCGAGGTGGTGGACACACCCTCACCATCTCGAGAGATGGCCCAAGCTACTGACTCCATAGTTGTCCCGCAAACACATTCTGACCCATCGAGACTCCGTTCGATGAATGTGTTTGGATCCTTAGAGGGGCTAGAGGAGGAGTGGTCTAGATCAGACCCACTAGCTTCTTGGACGACATTGGCCAAAGCCCCTAAGCGAGAGATGTTCGTCGGCGAGGTACTCATCGGCGGTCGTAAGGCCGGGGCCTATTATGACACTTGCTCGACTAGGAACTTCATTGGCCGCGCGTGCGTTGAGAGGCTGCGCTTACAGGGGAGAGTGCAGCACCTGAGTCGACCTGTGTAGTCGACCTGTGCCAACAAACAGCGCATGGTACTCAACGACTACCTCCAGGATGTTGAGTATTGTTTCCCGTACGCGGGAGGGGATTGCGACATCGCGTGCCAGCTGGGGGGACCGCCAGATTACGTAAGTTTAAAGCTAGTAGTCTGATTGAGTCCCACGGATGCATGTGTGCAGCCGCGTTCTATAACTATTATAAGCAAAATCCGGAGGCGGGTATGTATCTAGTCTATGTCTCTACAGCAGGCGAGCCGGTGAAAATGTCGCCGGAGATAGAGGGAGTAGTTACCAAGTACCCTGATCTATTTGAAGAGCCTACAGGGGTTGTTGAGAGGGAGGTCGTCCATGCGATAGAGATTATCCCAGGGTCTAGTATTCCGAAGGGTAGGATCTATCGGATGTCTCCAGGCGAGCTTGGTGAGCTTCACCGGCAACTCAAGGAACTCGTAGAGAAGGGTTGGATCCGACCGAGTGTTTCTCCTTATGGATCGCCAGTCCTATTCGTACCAAAGAAGGAACACTGAGGATGTGCATTGACTATAGGGGCCTCAATGCCATCACTGTCAAGAACAGAGAGCCCCTACCGCGCATCGATGACTTGCTAGATAAAGTGCAAGGGTGTCGGTACTTCAGTAAGATAGATCTGAAGTCCGGGTACCATCAGACTGCAATCCGGCCCGAGGATCAACACAAGACCGCATTTCAGACCAGGTACGGTCTGTACGAGTTTGTGGTGATGCCTTTCGGCCTTTGCAATGCTCCTAGCACCTTTCAGCATGCTATGAATCGGATATTTCATGACTACTTGGATAAGTTTGTCATCGTGTACCTCGATAACATACTTATTTTTAGTAAGACTGTCGAGGAGCACGTTGCGCACTTGGACAAAGTCCTTAGTCTTCTTCGAAAGCACAAGTTCAAGATCAACGGTGAGAAGTGCGAGTTTGGCCGCACCCGTGTCTTGTACTTGGGTCATGAGATTTTTGCGGAGGGATTGAAGCCCGATGACGCGAAGGTGGCCAGCATTCGTGACTGGCCGCGTCCTCAGTCTGTGACTGAGATGAGGTCCTTCTTAGGGATGACTGGCTACTACCGCAATTTTGTTTAGACTTACAGCATAGTGGCTGCCCTTTGACGGACTTGACTCGCCTTGACACCCCACGGGAGTGGACAGACAGGTGTGAGGCTGCTTTCAGACAACTGGAGCACGCGTTGACACACCATGAGGTCTTGAAACTTCCTGATCCCGACAAACCTTTCGTAGTAACTACGGATGCTAGCCAATACGGCATAGGGGTCGTACTTGCGCAGCAGGAGGGGAAGAAGTTGAGGCCGGTAGAGTACATGTCCAAAAAGATGCCCTCTCAGAAGTTGGCTAAGTCCACCTATGAGAAGGAACTCTATGCGATCTACAAGGCGCTCACCCATTGCAGGCACTATCTCCTTGGGAGGTTCTTCTACGTCAGGACTGATCACCAGACCCTGAAGTGGATGAGAACCCATCCTGTGCTCTCTGATGCTCTGAAGCGTTGGATTGAAGTCATAGACCAATATGACTTTGAACCCCTGTACATCAAGGGCGAGTACAACAAGGTTGTTGATGCGCTGTCGCGTAGACCAGATTTCTCTGGTGCGCTGAACACTGAGTTTGGGCTTACGAAGATGTTACTCGCTCTATGGTGGAAGCCTATCGCGAGGACTGGTTTATGTCTGAGATCATACGCAGACTCGAGGCGAAGGACAAAGTGACTTCTGCCGAGTTTGAGTTGGTCAACGGACTTTTGTTCCTTGAGAAGGCAGGGAATAAACGTCTGCGTGTGCCAGATAGGGAGTCTTTGCGTAGTTTATTTTTAGGCGAGTGTCATGATGCCACCGAACATTTTGGCTTCAAGAAGACTGCAGCCAATCTGCTGCAACGGTTCTGGCGGCCCACGATGATGAGAGATGCCAAGCTGTACGTGGAGACTTGTCAGGTCTGTCAGAGAGACAAGCCCCATACACAAGCCCCTCTTGGGCTCCTCAAGCCCCTTTCGATTCCGAAAAGGCCCGATGAGAGCCTGTCTATGGACTTCATGGACACGCTGGTCACCAGCAAGAGTGGAATGAGACACATCTTTGTTATCGTGGATAGGTTTAGTAAGTACACTAGGTTAGTGTCAATATCGGAGACATCGAAGACCGAGTACGCGATTAAACTCTTCAAAGAGAACTGGGTCAGAGACTTTGGGCTCCCAAAGTCTATTGTTAGTGACAGCTGCAGAACAGGGGAAACAGCTGCAGATGACTTCTGGGAACCATCCCGAGGCCAATGGCCAAGCAAAGCAGCCTAACCGCGCTGTACAACACCTGTTGCGGCATTACATCAAGCCCAATCAGGTGGACTGGGATGAGAAACATGCTCTCATCACCAGCCTGTATAACAATGCTGTGCACAGCGCAACTGGAGTAAGTCCTAATAGTCTGCTACTGACTTTCAAGCCCAGACTGCCCCTAGACTTTCTGCCACCTGACAATCAGTCAACTGCTGCACCCGGCACCCTTGAGTTTGCCTATCACTATGAACAACTGATGCAGCAGGCAGTAGAACAGATGCACAAGGCACAGGCGGCAATGATAGAATCTGAGAACAAACACCGCCGCCCTTCTACATTTCACAAAGGGGACAGAGTCTGGGTAAAATCCTCAGAACTGGGACAGGAGCACGGGATCTCCCGTAAGCTCATGCCACAATACTTTGGACCATGGGAAGTTCTAAATGTTGTTGGGGAAGATCCGGATGGGCCATCCTATGTTATTCGAATCCCTGGTCATCTCCGCACTTATCCTGTCTTTCACGCCTCCAAGCTTGCACCATTCAAGGAAACTGACCAGTTTCCCTCTCGTCACTCTATGCTGCCCCCACCAAGGGATGGAGAGGTCGACATCGACGACATTGTTGATCACAGGGAGATGCCAGTTCCAAGACCGACAGGCAGAGGACGTCCTCCGAAACCGAAGCTGCAGTACCGGGTTCGGTTCAGACATCACACTGATCCAAAGGAGGATAGATGGTTCACACGGGAGGAGCTGATGCAGACCGCTCCACAGGTTGTCGCTCTCTACGAGAAGTCTCTGCAGAAAGGAAAACGCCAGATTATCGAAGATTGAACTTCTCAGAGGACTGTCGAAGTATGGAGGAGGGAATGCGAGGCATAGGGCCTCGATATGCCCTACAGGGCCCAATTTGCACACAGTCGGCCGCCCTAAGTGAAGGCAGGCACGACCGAGGCCCTACAGGGCATTTCAGGGTCACCCCGCAACTGGGGAAATTCAAGCAGTTGCGCAGCGCCAGTCGGTTGGAAGCACCCAGGACCAGGCTGCCTTTCATTGCATGTAACTAAGGCAGGCCCTGGGCCGGATACACAAAGTGGACCGAACAAAGGCTGAGGGCAGTTGGGTGCTGGTAACCGCCTCAGGCCCTGGTCCTGTTTCTTTCGGACTAAGGCTCAGCCTCCCTGGGCCTACCGGAAACTTTTGGACCGGGGCCCAGTACCGCAGCACAGCACGCAGCAGCAGGCCACTTCGATTTAGGGAAAGGCCTGCCCACGCATTGGACATTTGGGCACTGGCTGCTTTGTGCGCAAGCGCTGCTGCGCTATCGCCTGCCAGGCTCACGCGCTCACGGGCGAGCTGGAAGGAGCAGGCAGCCATAGCCGAGCTGCGCTGCTGCATGCTAGATGGGGCACATGGTGGTCCTTGGGTGCAAGTGGCATCTGCGAGTTGGGGAACGAGGTTGTGAGTGATACGAGAGACGTACCTGGTGCTTGACGCGTGCGGCATTGGCCGAGGTCTGCTCGTACTTGGGAATCTGTTGACGTCATCAGCGGCATTGTAGTCTAGGCTAGATAGGATCTGCCATTCGTAGTCTGGGCGCCGAGTGCCAGATAGGATATCAACATTGGTTCTTCGTTGATGATGATGAGACTTTTCCAGCATTGTCAATTATGAGCTTCTGATGTGCTCTTATTTGGTGAAACTCGTAATGCAATTCTGCTTTTGGTTCAAGGTCACGACCATCTGGTCACATGTGTATGATACTGTTTGATTGCTGAAGTTCGCTATTGCTCATCTTCCTTGCAATCCTTCATCTGCTAATTATAAATTTCTAGACATTCATCTCTCTCTGATATGTAATCCGCCTAGTTTCGATGTCGGAGTTGGAATGAAAAAAGCAGCCGCCTTCTTGAAGTGGGAAACAGTTATTATAAATTTCTAGACATTTATCTCTCTCTGATATGTAATCCGCCTAGTTTCGATGTCGGAGTTGGAATGAAAAAAGCAGCCGCCTTCTTGAAGTGGGAAACAGTTCATGATGGTGTAGCTCCCCCTCTTCTTCTTCTTCTTTTTCTTTTTTTTTTTACTTTTTGCTTACTAACGGTCACCATTTACTTAACTTAGACTAACGGTGGGAAGCAGTTCGTGATGGTGAGTGGATTTATGCAGTTCGCACAGGAATAGTCTTACCCCATCAGTACTCACGGTCACAGTCTACTTAAGCCACCAGTACCTTTCCCATATGTCGGTCGTGGGCCCTGCGCACCGCAGCATTTGGGATGTGCATCTGGGCGTCGGTGCCCGGCGCCGGCCTCCGTTTTAACCGGCGGGCGATTTTTTTTTGGCCTGGGAAAGGTACTGGTGGTTCAACTTAGGGCGAGATCCCACTGGCAAAGAGGATTGTAGTAAGTGTCTGAATGTAGACATGTTTGTAGACAGGTGCAAAATTCTGTGATTGATCTGCTTTTCTGCACCTCTGCGTGGAACACGTCCAGATTCAGACACTTCTTCCAGTCCTCTTTGCCAGTGGGATCTGGCCCTTAGACTGACTGTGGGAAACAGTTCGTGACAACAGTCAGTCACCATTCACTTTTTTTTTTTTTTTTTTCCCTGCATCATGTGAAGCAAACAAAGGCAAGAAGTATACTATTCACCAGCGAAAATTTTGGACCCTTTTTTTTCTCTATTTATGCGTGCGTGTCATCCATGTGCAGGGGCTATGCTAATCTTCTCTCTCTCTCTCTCTCTCTCTCTCTCTCTCAAAAAAAAAAAAAAAAAAAAAAAAAAAAAAAAAACCTCCATTCTCTGTATCGTTCCAATTTTAACGGACGTCCGGAAGGACTCACCGTTTACTTAACTCGGACTAAACGGTGGGAAACAGTTCGTGATGGTGAGTGGATTTGCGCACTTGCTGCCGCAGGCACGGTTCTTTCCCCATCAGTGCTAACGGGCGCCATTACTTGCTAATGGTCGCCGTTACTGAACTTGGACTGACGGCGGGAAACAGTCGTGATGGTGGGTGGACTTGGGCAGTTGCCGCAGGCTGTTATCGTTCCAATTTTAACGGACGTCCGGAAGGACTCACCGTTTACTTAACTTAGACTAAACGGTGGGAAACAGTTCGTGATGGTGAGTGGATTTGCGCACTTGCTGCCGCAGGCACGGTTGTTTTCCCCATCAGTGCTAACGGTCGCCATTACTTGCTAATGGTCGCCGTTACTGAACTTGGACTGACGGCGGGAAACAGTTCGTGATGGTGAGTGGACTTGGGCAGTTGCCGCAGGCTTTCCCCAACCCATCAGTAACGGTGAGAGAGGTCCAGGTTCAAAGGGTTTAGGGTTGTTTTTCAACGATGAAAGTGGTGCTAAACGCTGTCTCTTCTTGTTTACCGTTTACTCGAAGAGAACTAACGGTGGGAAACAGTTCGTTACTGCAGTCGTTCCCGCTCTCTGCTCGTCTTGTCTACCGTTTGCTACTTATAGATATAGACTAACGGTGACTAACGGCGCAAACAGAACAGTTCCCTGATGCTGGAGTTGTGATGCAGTTTTTTCCCACACTTCTTTCCTCGTTTATCGTCTCGATGGGACTATCGGTGGGTACCGGTTCAGGACTGTATGGATGGACTCCTGCAGTCGTTCCCACTATTATCTTCTTGTTTACCGTTTACTACTTATAGACTAAACGGTGGAAAACGGTGCATGACGGTGGACTTGTGCAGTTCCCGCTCTCTTCTTTTCGTCTACCGTTTCATTGAACTTACCGTCTTCAACCGAAACGAACGCCCGGTCAGTATCGCCCCTGTGTGTATCTAGTGTGCAAATCGGACCAAATACGGCTGTAAAAATGACCAGGCGTTCAATTCGGGTGAAGAGGGTAAACGATGGGTAAGAGTTAACGATGGTGTCCTGTCTGGCCTTCCCTGTTCTTTTTTTTTTTTTTTTTCCCCATAAAAAGATGGATGCAGTTCTTGCTCTGCTGTTCTTGTTGTTCTTGTTTTTTTTCACCCTTTACCTTCTTCGCCCAAATAGAACGCCCAGTCATTATAGTCGTATTTGGTCCAATTTGCACACTAGATACAGCTTGGATAATAACGACCTGTTTGGATTTGACTAACGGCAGGAAACAGTTCGCAGCCCCGGATACAATTCCCGCTCTTTTCATTAAAGCCGTATTTGGTCCAATTTGCACACTAGATACAGCTTGGATAATAATGACCTGTTTGGATTGGACTAACGGCAGGAAACAATTCCCGCTCCTCCTTTTATTGTTTTTTTGGTTCCCTTTTTTTTTTTGTTAACTGAATTTTGAATCACAATCCTGGGAGAGTGGAAGAAAAAGAAAAAGTCCCGTCTTCCCCCGAATAGAACGCCCGGTCATTAAAAAAAAAAAAAAAAAAAAAAAAAAAAGAACGCCCAGTCATTTTCGCTGGCTGTACCAAGACTGGAAGTTGCCCGAAATGCAGATGCTTCAGTATTGTCTTCCCTGCGTCAGGCATTTCCCACCTTCCTCTTCCTCCTCATCTCATCATAACCATCATAACCGTCATCACGATGATAAAATAAATCATACTAGTATAAATTGTATAACAAAATAATATATAAGTAAATAGATTTAGATTAAATTAGTAATAAAAAAACGACAATAACAACCACACAACCATCCGCTCGTCCCCGCCACCTCGGGGTAGGCCAACTTTCAATCCAGATGCAGCAATAATGACCGGGCGCTCAATTCGGGTAAAGATGGTATTAGCCTAATCGGCATCCTCGTCACTTTTCTCATACTACTTCTCCGTATCATCACTTTCTTCATATCATTATTCACCGTCATCCCTGCTGTTCTCTCCTTCGTCCACGTCATCATCAATCAGTCATCCTCAATCAATCATTCTCATCATCCTCAATCAATCATCCCCATCATCCTCAATCAATCATCCTCGTCATCCTCAACCAATCATCCTCATCATCCTCAATCAATCATCCTCATCATCCTCAATCAATCATCCTCATCATCCTCAATCAATCATCCTCGTCATCAATCAATCATCCACAATCAATCAATCATCATCATCATCATAATCATAATCATCAATCATCACCGATCATCCTCAATCACTCAATCAACATCGATCAACATCGATCATCATTGATCATCATTGTCATCGATCGTCATTTCATCACGCTCCTTCACACCACCACCACACCCCTCATCGTGCTCCTCTCTCCATCACTCTGGCCGCTCTCCCCCTCTTCATCGTCAGCTTCGTCCCCCTACCGTCTTCACCGGAATATACGCCCGGTCATTACAGCCGTATTTGGGCTAGTTTCCAGTCCAGATTCAGGGATAATTACCAAGCGTTCTATTCGGTGGAAGACGGTAGTATCCGACTCATCATCGTCATCAATTATCATTGACGTCAACCATTATATCATCACGCTCCTCTTCGTCAGCATCACCCGGACCCCCATCGTCCTCCTCTCCATCACTCTCCTGCCGCTCTTACCCTCTTCCTCATCATCTTCGTCCCCCCCCCTACTTGTCGTACTCATCATCATCATCATCATCGATTACCACTGCCAGCAATCATCATATCATCACGCTGTGCTCCTCAGCACCACCCCACCCCCCATCATCCTCATAATGTCCAGCATTTTTTTCCTGCTGCTCTCACCCTCGTCTTTATCATCGTCATTCATCTAGCTGTCCTCATCACCATCATCATCGTCGTAATTATCATCATCACCATCATCATCATCATCATCGTCATCATCACCAACGTCACAATCATAATTAACATCGTCATCATCATCATCATCATCATCATCTCCATCATCATACCATCACGATACTATTCTCCATCACCATACCCCCCTTTCATCATCACTCCTATCGTCTTCTCCTGCTGCTCTCTCCCTGCTCATCATCATCGTTCGCGTAACTGTCCTTATGATCATCATCCGTCGTTCATTATTCAATCATTCAATCATCGTCATCGTCCTCCTCATCATCATCATCGAAAAATCATCGCTTCCACCAACCACACCATATCATCACGCTCCTCTTCGCCAGCACCACCCTATCCCCTCTCCCTATCATCCTCCTCTCCCCCATCGCTCCC